GAAATCATCCAGATTTAGGTAATGATATTACACGTGGTGTTTTTATTATACATTTTTTTCCTCTAAAAATATTATTTACAACCTTTCGAGAATTTTTTATTGCATCTTTTAAGATATCACTTTTCTTTAAAATTTGTTTAGCACTTTTTAAGGCATGATTGAAGAGCTGATAACCAGTTTTTCCTCCCACTTTTTTAGTTTATAATACTAATTTTTTATTGGCAATATGTCGGTTATCTAAATCTTTATTATATAAACTAGCTGTACCCTGCCACGCTTTGCTGTGGCATATTCCTGTTACATGGATGATAAATTATTAAGTAATCAAAGCATACGTTTCATACAGTGTTGCCAGAGAAAAATTTCGTTTGGAGCTAAAACAGTCGAAAAAAGAGCTAAATAATACTAATAGTAGCTGAAATGCAGAGCTACATATTTTTGTTAAGGTTGAGCATTTATTGACGTAAGGTTGTTTTTACATTTTCGGCAATTTTAATAAAAATAGCGAATTTCATAAGTTTAAGTGCTGAAAAAATCTTTTAAACCCAAAATAAGGTGCATATATTTCGAATTCGTTGCTATGTCACTTATATAACAGTGATCTAAAAATACTTTACACACGGTTAAAGTCTGTAATTTCAGATATTTGAATTGAATAATTTTTTCGCAAAATTTTTCTGGAAAGTTTTNCTCTTTCCAGTTTTTATAGCATTGATTGTTGTAATAATTCCTGCTGTACCGCCAGATAGACTTCCATGTGCTCCTAATGCTTCGAATAAAGGCGCTAATGGCAGAAATCATCCAGATTTAGGTAATGATATTACACGTGGTGTTTTTATTATACATTTTTTTCCTCTAAAAATATTATTTACAACCTTTCGAGAATTTTTTATTGCATCTTTTAAGATATCACTTTTCTTTAAAATTTGTTTAGCACTTTTTAAGGCATGATTGAAGAGCTGATAACCAGTTTTTCCTCCCACTTTTTTAGTTTATAATACTAATTTTTTATTGGCAATATGTCGGTTATCTAAATCTTTATTATATAAACTAGCTGTACCCTGCCACGCTTTGCTGTGGCATATTCCTGTTACATGGATGATAAATTATTAAGTAATCAAAGCATACGTTTCATACAGTGTTGCCAGAGAAAAATTTCGTTTGGAGCTAAAACAGTCGAAAAAAGAGCTAAATAATACTAATAGTAGCTGAAATGCAGAGCTACATATTTTTGTTAAGGTTGAGCATTTATTGACGTAAGGTTGTTTTTACATTTTCGGCAATTTTAATAAAAATAGCGAATTTCATAAGTTTAAGTGCTGAAAAAATCTTTTAAACCCAAAATAAGGTGCATATATTTCGAATTCGTTGCTATGGCACTTATATAACAGTGATCTAAAAATACTTTACACACGGTTAAAGTCTGTAATTTCAGATATTTGAATTGAATAATTTTTTCGCAAAATTTTTCTGGAAAGTTTTACATCCAGCTCTCCTTAAGGTAAAATTAGTAAGGTAAAACCAAATCCGCGCTATCAGAAAAGGATTTTCTTTTAATAAATTTTTTAATTCTTTAACCTAGATCCAAGAATTTTTGGTGGATACACTGCATCGCGAAATTTCCCATTTATCAACGCTTAAGTTTTGGCTTATATATACCAAATACAACTAAAACTTTTTGGAGCTAAAAAAGTGCTACATAAATTTGAAAAGAGCTAGGAGCTAAAACCTGATTTTCGGAGCTAAATAGAAAAATAAAGAGCTAAATCTAGCTTCAAAAGCAGCAAAATGGCAACACTGGTTTCATATGAGTGTGATTTTGTAATAAGTACTTGTGAGCACACAATATTTGTCGTTTTTCAATTCTCTGCGTAGATATCAAGGATATCTGGTTTGCCGACACGGGAACACGCAACATCTGAGAACCAGCCCGCATCTTAATCTAAACCATACTTTTCCAAAGGATGACCCTGAGCATTATTGATTGTGATACCGAATACCAATCGAATTGGAAATTCCAATATTTTAAATTGAAATGGTGTATCGGTCGGAATCATGGGAATTCTTCACCTTTGAAAGGCCACGTACAAATCTTTACTTACACTACGTTCTTCATAAATTGCTTTACTGCGAGTCACGTGCCGTTACAGACTTTTGGCTGATTAATATTCCAATTTACTTTTTTTACATATACATCTCATAACTTGTAAGAAAACCAAACATTTTCATGAAAAAGACATAATTTAACCCATGCTAAGGACTTGGAATACATGTGCATAAAATCAAACATTTGTAATTTCAATTTATAAAGTACATTTTTTGTGCATAAGTATTTTGCAAAGTAAATATAATAAATAGCAAGTACACTCTAAAAAGAGCATGTAAAACTACTACTGAAAAGTATCTATTTTTCAACAAGAATCTGTATAAATATACGTATAGGATGTTCAGTATTTGATTTTGAACTTGAGATCTTTAAAATATACACATAAATACACATATATAGAATGTTTAAAATTGCAAAAATTTTCAAACTACAAATACATTTCCTACTAATAATAAACATTACTTTATTTTAAACATTTTGTGTAAAAATAAACAGGCAATGATTAATTTTATTACACGGCTTGCACATTTGCATACATTAAAAGAGGAAACCGGTTACCTCTCTCAATATGCGCAAATAAACAAAATTTTTTAGAGTGTATTTAAAGTCTTTTCAGTAAAATTCATAAAAGTTTCCTTAAATAAATCAAATTTAGTTTTTTAAACTACATTGAAATCTTCTTTCTTTTTAAATTAACAAATGAAAATATGTGATATGAAAGAGATTACTACAGAAAGAGTATAATTTACTTTACATATATCGTCGTTTAAAGTACAAAACCGCGTATCGTCATTCTGCAAAACCGCGTAACTGCCAAAAATTGGATTTCCTCACACAAGCTCTTGGCTTCGTCCTGAAATATACTAGCCAGAAATGCGATTGCTTTATAAAAAAGAGAACCATTTTGAAATATAAGTGTTTTTACTCTCTAGAAAATAATTTATGCAACGTCACATACGTGGTTTTGCATTATCTTGATACGCGGTTTTGCATTTTGTTGCGGTTTTGTACTTTAAACTACGATATGTATGTATATTAAGATCTTGCTTAAAGCATCCTTTTAAGCTAATTAAAGCAATTGCGCTTATACCTATTTTGGTGAGATCTCTTCATATGTTCATTGCTTCGTTCACAAAAAATAAAATGCTTTAATTTAACGCTTAAGTAGCGATTCTTTATACGTTTAGAAAACGTAATGCTTTCTACCATCTTTAATGAAAATCGATTTTTGAACGAAAAAAACTTTATAGGAAATATAAAAAATTTTGGCCTATTTAAAAAAGTATCCACTTTTATACTGACCGGAAAAAATAAGTATCCCACAAAAAATCGTCTAAAAATGTATCCAATTGGAACTATTTAGATCCAAACGGCATCCCTGATTGTGAGGACTAAATATCCGCGGAATTTAGCCCACACGAACGCAAACCCCTACACCAACAATAACGACTACACCGGCAACAATAACGACTACAGCAACATCATCGAAACGGCTAACCAACACGAGAGACCGTATCAACACTCCTTTGTGACACCGTCACCATAGCAACGCAACATGTAGCCACACAACTCAGCAACACGAAGAACACCAGCTATAGCAGATGGGACTTGGCAACATACGAGACAGTCAGCACGGAGCTGTGGTCGTGAACGCACAGCTACTAGAGAATAGCTCTCGACTTGTACATAGGCGACTATACAAGGCTTGGCTGTTCAAAGGTAGAGCGCCGCCACCCCACAGTCAACCGTGAAGCCGCGCGACGGCGACGCCAGTTCGCCCACCAGCACCGCGCCGACGTCACCCAGCAGCCGCGCACCAACGGAGTAACGCCGCAGTCACCCAGCAGCCGCGCACCAACAGGGAGCGCCAACGTCGCCCAGAGTCTACGCGTCAGTAGCGGAGCCGTGGTCGTGAACGCACAGCTACCAGTGAATACGGGCAACAGTGCGCTGGCATAGTAGAACGCCTACGTGACGTCGGCACCAGAGAGCCGACGTAGTACATCCGCAGAGCGCCGGCATAGTAACGCCGACGTCACATACTAGCAGAGCGCCGACGTCGCACAGACGCAGAGCGCCGGCATAGTAACGCCGACGTCACATAGCAGCAGAGCGCCGACGTCGCACAGAAGCAGAGCGCCGGCATAGCAACGCCGACGTCACATAGCAGCAGAGCGCCGACGTCGCACAGACGCAGAGCGCCGGCATAGTAACGCCGACGTCACATAGCAGCAGAGCGCCGACGTCGCACAGACGCAGAGCGCCGGCATAGTAACGCCGACGTCACATAGCAGCAGAGCGCCGACGTCGCACAGACGCAGAGCGCCGGCATAGTAACGCCGACGTCACATAGCAGCAGAGCGCCGACGTCGCACAGACGCAGAGCGCCGGCATAGTAACGCCGACGTCACATAGCAGCAGAGCGCCGACGTCGCACAGACGCAGAGCGCCGGCATAGTAACGCCGACGTCACATAGCAGCAGAGCGCCGACGTCGCACAGACGCAGAGCGCCGGCATAGTAACGCCGACGTCACATAGCAGCAGAGCGCCGACGTCGCACAGACGCAGAGCGCCGGCATAGTAACGCCGACGTCACATAGCAGCAGAGCGCCGACGCCACACAGAAGCAGAGCGCCGGCATAGTAACGCCGACGCCACATAGCAGCAGAGCGCCGGCGTCGCACGGCGACCGAGCGACGATACAGCAGCGCCGGTAGAATAGCACCGTTAGGAATTTACATCCCGGTAATCATATTGTGTTTGTAATCTTAAGAATTTCCACGTTATTGAGAATAAGGATAAATAAATAAATTACTATTTGCAAAGGCCCCACAATATAAATTTATTTTAACGGACCCTGGGCACGGCGAGTATACCCCAGCATATAAAACAGAAGCGACGGGGCCTTCACAGAAAACGCTTCGTTACAATTGGCGCCCGAGCAGGGACCCTGCAAATAGAACAATACGAGGAGAACATTTCGAAGCCAATAATTAAACCAGCCATGATAGAACCAGTGAGCATAGCGTGGCTGGACAGCATATCCAAGGAACAGTTGGTGTCCATCACACAGGAACTGGGCATCGAACACACAGGCACCACTCGAGAGATAAGGAAACGGATAGCGGCATGGGCCGCCAAAGCACTCGTCGACATGGAACTTCACGCAAAATTTCTCGCGATGGAAGCAGCATACAACGAACAGGAGGTCCACTGGAGAGACGAAAGTGAACCAAAGACACCGTTAACCGTGAATCAAGGCGAAAGAACCGCTAATGTGCCCGTTAGGCCGCCAACGCAGCGCCAGTTCACATATCCACCACCAAGTATACAACCGCCACCGCAACACCCGCCAACGACATCCATCGCACCAAACGCTGACGTGCTAAACAACGGCAACCATGTGCCTACCGTTACCTTTGCGCCCATCATCGACCAGGTACGCAAGTGGTCGGTGAAGTACGATGGAGGACGCGACCCGTTGGCGTTTGTAGAACGATTAGAGGAGCTGGCCGGCGTCTACACATTAGATGTAGACCTACTACTGAAGACGATGCCTGAATTGCTAAATGGCACCGCCCTCCATTGGTACCGCAACCACAACGAGCATTGGACTAACTGGGCGTCATTCAAACGTGATTTCCTGCACTTTTTCCTACCGGCCCGGTATTTTGCACGCCTGGAAGATGACACAAGGCAACGGAGGCAGCGCCCGCAAGAAAAATTCAAGGACTACGTGATCGCGATTCAAAACCTGATGCGACACGCGGGTCACAGTAGTGAACAACGGCTGGAAAGGATTTTTCGAAATAGCCACCCGGAGTACTTGCTCTACATCAAACGGCGAGATTTTAACACTTTGACGGAACTCCTCACACTCGCAGAAGACTACGAAAGCATCTACGGAAGCCATCGGCGGGCGCCAGAAACCGCCCGACGAGAAATAGCGAGGCACGTTGGTGACGACACCATTATGTCACCACCCCAACCGAGACAGGCATTTCAGCAACGACCGCTACCACGCATGGATCAGCATCATCGAGAAGCATCATATAATAACGCCGCGGGGACCCCACCCCCTTCGAGAGTCACAACTCAAACTTTTCATAGCGGCAACACATGCAGGAGGTGTGGTCAAGNGAAGCCATCGGCGGGCGCCAGAAACCGCCCGACGAGAAATAGCGAGGCACGTTGGTGACGACACCATTATGTCACCACCCCAACCGAGACAGGCATTTCAGCAACGACCGCTACCACGCATGGATCAGCATCATCGAGAAGCATCATATAATAACGCCGCGGGGACCCCACCCCCTTCGAGAGTCACAACTCAAACTTTTCATAGCGGCAACACATGCAGGAGGTGTGGTCAAGAGGGACACTTCGCCCGAAGGTGCCGTAATCGGAAGCTGTTCTGTTGGGAATGCGGCCGGGCCGACATACGGACAATAGAGTGCTGCCGGAGGCGTCAGGGAAACGAGAGAGGGCTTCAGCAGGGGACCGGCGCGATGAAGCCCCCGAGTACAGCGCCGGACAACCAATAATTTTGAGCCAGGAACGCGGCCGCCTCTACGCCCTAATCTCGTTGGGTGGAGCGCCCGCGAAAGCCGTCATCGACACAGGAGCCTCGAGAAGTTTCGTGTCCGCCAGCGTGGCGGAGCAATTGGTTAGCTTGGGGAGAGGCAAAAAGATAACTGTGGCCATAGGAATCCTTATGGCCGATGGTACCAGGAACCAAATATCCGAGGCCGTGAGGACCGTAGTCCGCCTTGGACAAACGATCCACAACGCCGTTCTGCATGTCATGCCAGGAGCAATCGACGACATCATTTTGCGCCTGGACACACTAGGGGGAATGGGAGCTACGGTGTCCTGCGGCGGGCACCGCGTCGTATTGACGGAGCCACATATACAACCCACGTCGGCGACACCAAGCGAGCTAACACCAAGCACCGAGGACCCCGAACCACCCGCCATGACGAACCATCGCCCACCAAGGAGCAGAAAAGGGAGGCGCCATACAAGACGACGGTCCGCAAGGGAGAAGGTCAACAGAATTGAACACGAGGACCTCAACCACGAAGATGAGGCAGCCCGCATACGCGACTTTTTAGCCGAAGAACTGCAAAAATTCGAGACTATTAGCGGAGTAGCCACAGTGG